CTTGAATAAACTTGAATGGATGAAAGGAAAAAGTTTTGTGCACTTCTGTGAGTTTGATCAAGTGTAGCGAGTATTTGTTTGTCAGTTCCATCTATGTTGTTTCATGAATGATGTGCTTTTGTAAGTAGACTTTGCAGTTTATTTGCATGCAGCATTCATTATTTGGGTTGTCAGTTGAATGAAACTTTGAATGGTTTTTAAAGGGGTCATATGATGTTGCTAAAAAGAACATTATTTTGTGTATTTGGTGTAATCAAATGTGTTTATGCGGTTTAAGGTTAAAAAAAACTTATTATTTTTATTATTATTTATAAAAAATTATTTTCCACATACTGTACATTATTGTTTCTCCTCTATGCCCCGCCTTTCTGAAACGCTTTGATTTTTACAAAGCTCATCGGTCTGAAAGCGAGGTGTGCTCTGATTGGCCAGCTATCAAGTGCATTGTGATTGGCCGAATACCTCAAGCATGTGACGGAAATGTTACGCCCCTTACCATACTGTGATGCCCTCTCCGGCCGGAGCGACGAGACAAAAACATTAAAACCCATTATAAACGAGGCATTTGTTGCATCCAGTGTGGACATAATTCACTAGAAGGATAGTATGACTTGCATCGCGCCACGTAAACATAAAACCATGTCTGCATTTGTGATCGGAGAAATGACAAATAAGCGCTACTCTACACTGCTCAAAACTCGCGTTTGAATCATCAGTGGCAAATTCTTTAAATATGAAAGTGTACTTACAGACTGTGAGTCGGCATTGTTGTCGACTCTTTCAGGAAACAGTTCTCCATAAAATGCGTTGCACACATCTGAATATTTGGGTTGAACTGTTGTGGAACAGTGTTGTAAATACAACCACTGATTTCTAGTTGTGTGGAAGGCCAAACAACGTATTTTTGCGTTCACAACGAAACACACAGCGTCTTCACAACATGGCAGCGGCAGTGGCAGCAACAATAAAGTTACACCTTCTTTCTTTGCGTGAACATTTGGGCAGCGTTATGCAAATCTTCCCACATCGTGACATAGACATGTGGAGGCGTGTTTAAACGAGGCGTTTTAGGAGGGCGTGGACCAGTCTTAACTTTTATAAAGAATATCTCTTTGGGTTTGAGACTTTAGTCTTTGCAACATTAGGGATCTTATCTATTCACGAACAGCTTGTAACACTCCAAAGAGAAAGGAAAACTTGAAATCGCATCATATGACCCCTTTAATGTTGTTAATTAAATATTCAAATTAATTTAATTAAACACATGTCATTGTTTGTTAAAAGAATTCCCATCAGAAATGAAAGTTGTACATCAGTATTAAACTGCATTAAACTCTATAGAAACAATTACAATTAATTATATAGCATGATTAATTGCTTTCATTTTGTATAGCTTTTTTAAATTAATTACACTGAATTAAAGTGTTAAAATTGACAAACCCTAGTTGTAACATCCCTTTAAAATGGCTTTAGATAATACAACATATTTCTATCCCAGTGCTGTCGGTCTTGTTAAAAACAGAAATATTGTGAAATATTATTCTAATTTAAAATAATAGATTTCTATTGTAATATATTTTAAAATGTAATTTTTTTCCTGAATTTTCAACATCATTACTCTACTCTTCAGTGTCACGTGATCCCCTCACGTGATGAGATTTGTGCTGTTTTTTTGTCTTTTTTTTTATTTTTATTGTGAATTTAGAATAATTTTTTATGATTATTTGATAAATAGAATGTTCCAACGAATAGCATTTATTTTAAATATGATTATTAATAAAAAAGGCTTTACTGTCGTCTCAATGTCGTTAATTCATCTAAAAATATAAATTAACGATGAGGAAATGTTCGTCCTGTCAGCATCACATTGTCCCGGCATCATTTCCAGGTGGGGAACAGGGAAATCTTCATGGTCAGGGGTCAAAAGAGGGAGACATGATGAAACTCAGTCCTTTCCCCTGCTGTGCTGACCTTCCCTGACCTCGCTTCACAAACTCACCGGGTCAAAGAGCCCAACCCCAGGGATGCGAGTGTGCAAATATAAATTAACGATGAGGAAATGTTCGTCCTGTCAGCATCACATTGTCCCGGCATCATTTCCAGGTGGGGAACAGGGAAATCTTCATGGTCAGGGGTCAAAAGAGGGAGACATGATGAAACTCAGTCCTTTCCCCTGCTGTGCTGACCTTCCCTGACCTCGCTTCACAAACTCACCGGGTCAAAGAGCCCAACCCCAGGGATGCGAGTGTGCGCGTGCGTGCGTGCGTGCGTGTGCGTGCGTGTTTGAGTGTTTCAGCTACATTACTGAATTCTCTCATTTCCATCACTAATCAGGATCAGGATCTGTTGACGAACACCACAGAGACGTTGGAACAGCAGTGTGTCTGTTGTCTCTCTGATGTCATGCTCAGATTAAGGGGTTCCAGCACAGGGGTGGGTGTGTGTGTGTGTGTGTGTGTGTGTGTGTGTGTGTGTGTGTGTGTTCAGAGGAAAGGGGTGAAGCAGCATATTGCTTTAGAGTGATAACACGACCTCAGCGGATGACACTGAGATGTGTTACAAAGCTTATCCTAGTGCTGAGTCTTTACTTATTGAAGTAAGGGCATGCATTGTTTCATGTGCAAAAAAACCCCAAAGTATAAATATTTGGTATACACTACCGTTCAAAAGATTGCAGTTTTATAGAAATCAATACATTTATTCAGCAAGGATATCAAATTGATCAAAGTATTTAGACAGTAAAGATGTCTATTTCATTCTTGAAAAAAATCCCACAAAAATATTAAGCAGCAAAACTGTTTGATATGGATAGGAAATGTTTCTTGAGCAGCAAAACAGCATATTAGAATTATTTCTGAAGGATCATGTGAGACTGAAGATTGAAGTAAATTCAGTTTTGCCATCACATGAATACAATACATTTTAAATATATTTAAAAAGTAAAAGCTATTTTAAATTGTAATAATATTTCACAATGTTACAGTTTTTACTGTGTCTTTGATCAACTAAATGTAGCTTTGGTGAGCATAAGACACTTCTTTCAAAACATTAAAAAAATCTTCAGACTGATTTTTTTCTCTGACCTTTTTTCCCCCCATTGCATATAAACTATACAGGTCAAGTGTTCCAAGTAACTGTTTCTTTATTTTTCTCACACTCTTGACATGGTGTAAGTTTGTTAACATCCATGTCTAACATTAAACAGCACTGGCTCTATCAAGTGTAGGCATTGCTGTGAGTGTAATGCATTGATTTAAAGTTATACATCGCTGCGCTGGGGATTTAAATTATACAGTGTAAATTAAAATATATCACTGTTTTGCATCTGCGTTTTGCAACTCACCGGGTCAAAGAGCCCAACCCCAGGGATGCGAGTGTGCGCGTGCGTGCGTGCGCGTGCGTGCGTGTTTGAGTGTTTCAGCTACATTACTGAATTCTCTCATTTCCATCACTAATCAGGATCAGGATCTGTTGACGAACACCACAGAGACGTTGGAACAGCAGTGTGTCTGTTGTCTCTCTGATGTCATGCTCAGATTAAGGGGTTCCAGCACAGGGGTGGGTGTGTGTGTGTGTGTGTGTGTGTTCAGAGGAAAGGGGTGAAGCAGCATATTGCTTTAGAGTGATAACACGACCTCAGCGGATGACACTGAGATGTGTTACAAAGCTTATCCTAGTGCTGAGTCTTTACTTATTGAAGTAAGGGCATGCATTGTTTCATGTGCAAAAAAACCCCAAAGTATAAATATTTGGTATACACTACCGTTCAAAAGATTGCAGTTTTATAGAAATCAATACATTTATTCAGCAAGGATATCAAATTGATCAAAGTATTTAGACAGTAAAGATGTCTATTTCATTCTTGAAAAAAATCCCACAAAAATATTAAGCAGCAAAACTGTTTGATATGGATAGGAAATGTTTCTTGAGCAGCAAAACAGCATATTAGAATTATTTCTGAAGGATCATGTGAGACTGAAGATTGAAGTAAATTCAGTTTTGCCATCACATGAATACAATACATTTTAAATATATTTAAAAAGTAAAAGCTATTTTAAATTGTAATAATATTTCACAATGTTACAGTTTTTACTGTGTCTTTGATCAACTAAATGTAGCTTTGGTGAGCATAAGACACTTCTTTCAAAACATTAAAAAAATCTTCAGACTGATTTTTTTCTCTGACCTTTTTTCCCCCCATTGCATATAAACTATACAGGTCAAGTGTTCCAAGTAACTGTTTCTTTATTTTTCTCACACTCTTGACATGGTGTAAGTTTGTTAACATCCATGTCTAACATTAAACAGCACTGGCTCTATCAAGTGTAGGCATCGCTGGGAGTGCAATGCATTGATTTAAAGTTATACATCGCTGCGCTGGGGATTTAAATTATACAGTGTAAATAAAAATATATCACTGTTTTGCATCTGGTCTGCAGATAAATCCATGCACGGTTAATCAAGTCTCAGACTGGAACCAGTATGAATTCTTCAGGTTTTAAGATGCACTGGAGATGTATTCAGTTTTTATCACTCGGTTCTCTGGAATATTTTTGTATAATGATCACTAAATATTCTCTCGATTTTTTTTTTTTCTCTCTCTTATTCAGCGGTCTCTTTCTTTTTGCCTAATAAAATTTTTAATTTTGTTTGTTTATTTATATATTTATTTATTCATTCAGTTGCATACTATACAGTTATCATGCATGCATGCAAACCCATTTCATTAAATATAAAATAGTATTTTATTTTGTGAACTTTGTGTGCTATATTAACTATAATGAAAACTTTTTGTTGTTGTTGATTTAGTCTGTTATTTATTTTTTATTTAAAGATAACTCTTGGAATAATGTAGTCAAAGTGTGCAATTATAGCAGCTAAACACATTTCCTGTTGCTCTAGTGAATATTATATATCATGTCAAAGGTGAAAAATGAAAAATGAAATGAAAACCTCACCCTGAAGAAATTCCTGATATGCTTTGTTTGTTTTCATATCAGGGTCAGAAAACGGAAGCGGAGAAGTTCTTTCTCAAGGCGATCGAGCTCGATCCCACTAAAGGGAACTGCTATATGCATTATGGTTGGTATTACTTTATTTTATTTCTCCTCAACCTGCACACATGGGCTGAAACGACATTAGCTAGTCATCCAGTAATGCAAAGATAATGAGGTATATGAATCCACACATTGCATCTACTCTAGCTTTGCCTACGTAGTGAAATTCGTCAAATACTCCACAACGTCTTGTGCGGTTTCTCCTCAACTCCATATTGGCCATAATTGTTCGCATTTAGCTCTTTAGCTGACGTTTGTCTTGTAATTGAGGTTACATTTGTAGGCTTTTTCGCAGCAAGATAGATGGTGCCATGCAGGAAGTCATTGTTTCGGTGTTATCTGAAGCGTACCTGGTATACAGATGGTATTCCAGTGAGACGAAACCACCCACGCTTCAGCGAGCAGAGAGAGATAACGAGGCCTTATTTCTCTAAGGAAAAAGCATACGAGTTTTCATGTGTGTCTGCATGAATGTGATTTAGCCAAATTATAGCCTGTGGCCATTTTCTCCAACTGAGACTCAGATTATTGGAGCTCAGTTTCCTTCACAGGGATCTCTTTTTTTGTTTCAACACTTTTTCTAAAGATAATTATTTTTGTGCATCACATCATTATTTTCAGTGTTAAAGGGATATTTCACCCAAAAATGAAAATTCTGTCATTAATTACTCACCCTCATGTCGTTCCAAACACGTCAAAGCTTCGTTCATCTTCGGAACACAAATTAAGATATTTTTGATGAAATCCGAGAGCTTTCTGACCCTCCATAGACAGCAATACAACTGACACATTCAAGGCCCAGAAATGTAGTAAGGACATCATTAAAATAGTCCATGTGACATCAATGGTTCAACTGTAATTTTATGAAGCTATGAGAATACCTTTTGTGCACAAAGAAAACAAAAATAATGACTTTATTCAATGATTTCTTCTCTTCTGTATCAGTCTTCGACGCGCGTTCACGAGTACCACGACGCATGTAATCTTTCAAGTTGAAATGTGAAAAATTACAAAAACAAAACTGTCATACTGTGTGCAATAGCCAAAATTTGAAACATTTAACAATATTGTAAATGCATTATTATATTATTGTACAGTATGCTGTCATATTTTATCAACAGTTTTCATTCTTAAAATATAAGTAAAATTTAATGTAAAAGTTTTTTTTTTTGTTGTTTAATTTTTTACTTAATTTATTTTTTTTTGTCTCGACAAATGAGTCTTCCATGCTTTTCCTCAGATCCTAGATTTTTATGGTTGACCTGTCCCTGGATGCTCCCATGCATGGATTTAGTCCAGATAAACACAGCATCACAGGCTACCCCCAACAATATGTTTTCCACTCGATCGCTGCCAAGGCATCTGCGTAATATAATTTAGTACGTGTCTGATCAGACATCTTCAGAACACGTACTATCCAAAGGCCATAAGGATGATCTTGTATTTCCTTCTATTGTTCTCTAGTGCATAACCACTGTATCAGAGAATGTGGCGGCTGCTTATTATTTTCCGTTTCGCATGATAGACCGCCACTGTCATTTACCATGGGGAGAAAGACTCTGCTTTGTGCCAGATTTTTTTTATATTTGTATAAAACTATTTGTGGCATCCAAAAAATGCCATGATCAATGACAGCGTTCTAGCTATCTTCACTTTGGATTACATCGCTTCTTAGATTTCTACTTTGGTCATTTCTGTTTGGGAAAAAATGTTTGGTTTTGGCCCAGCAGTGTTCAGAAGTGTGGAGAGCCATTTCGGCAAATAGCAACAGGCTATTTATTCCACTTCAGTCTTGACTGATGTCTCTAGCAACGATACTGCAGAGGTTTGAGATCCCAGTCAGTCCCCTTTCCACAACCTTACAGGAGTAAGCATTTCATTTGTCACAGAAACATGCCTATCGGATAAATCTCAATTGGACAAATGGTCTGTCAGATGGTTCGCGCGGTGTGCAGCGCCCTTGCTATCTCATGTTTCACAGATTCTTTGAGAGGGCAGACCAAACTATCCATCCCACAGCCAAAGGAAATATTTCACATTTGTCTTTCCAAGGGAGTAAAAGCAAATATCAAATGAAATTCCCCCGCTTTTTTTTTTCTTCCTCAGGTCAGTTTTTGCTGGAGGAGTCGCGGCTTTTGAAGGCCGCTGAAATGGCAGAGAAAGCCGCCCAGTTGGACAGTGAAGAATTTGATGTGGTTTTCAGTGCAGCTCACATGCTCAGGTGAGGAGGACACGCTAAATCCATACGGACATATTTTTTTTCCTGTGATTAAATGCCCATATTCCTGGACAAAGTATAAACATTTCTGTAGCAGCCATATTGGTTCTCAACTGGTTGTTTGCGAACCAAAAATGTGGTTTGTTTTTACAGGGTTGCATCCAGCAGAAGAAAAAAAAGAAAAAAAAAATATATATATATATAATTTATTTATGGGAAGTTATCTATAAGTCTTATATAAGTTATCTAGAAATATCTAGTTTTAGTTTCATAAATAAATAAATACTTCATTTATTAAGGGAAACGTTTAGTTTCATAGCAGGATTGGACAAATTTCCGAATTGAATTCATGAGTTAGAAATTCAATTAAATTGAAGGATGTTTGTCAGTGTCAACTCTTCAAAATTTTCAAACGAGGCTCTTGATAAACTTTATATTTGTAATAAAAACAAAATACAATTTATGTACATTTATGTTTTTAATTCTGCTTACTTAAATTCACATTGCAATTCCACTTACTTTTTTTTGTTTTGTTACTACCGTAAAAAAAAATCAGTGCAAATCCAGAAATTTAACTGGAGTTTATTCAATTTCGATAAAGAATGGTGCCTTTTTTATTTTTTTATTTTTTGGGGTACAATAATTGTTACTATATCGGGTTACCACCTTGATGTCCAATGTGAGGTCTGGATCCTGAAGCAAAACATGCTGCGCTCTAGGATGTTTTTCTATCTCTTTCTCTTTTTCTTTTACTTCTTCCACCTCCCAATTTGCATGGATGTTTTCTTTCTGTTGCAGTGCTCCGCAGGACATGTAATGGAAAGCCTGCATTAATACCCTCGCCTCGAGATTTCTGTTGAATACACTTCTCATAATTACTACATGGAGTTCACATGGTATATAGTTACACACTTCCAAAAAAGTATTCCAATCCTACAGTAGATTTTGCACGGTGCTTTTTGCTACGAGAACACTTGGTTGTTAATTGCAGTCTTAGGCTGTGTCCCCTGCCTTCGTGCTAGCTTGTGGTCCAACTCATTTGAAGATCAGGTTCCTAGTGTGTTTGTCTTGGAAGGACTTGCAGAAGGGTCTCGGGTGGGGGGTGAATTTGAGTGGGGTGGGGAAGTGCGAGGCCGCTTCAGATGTGCGGCTCTCAGGGGCCCGTCTGCACCGACACCGATGTTTGCTTCCTTACTATCAGTTTCCTTGCCCTCTTCAAACAAGCAGTGGTTATTCGAAACCCCGGCCAAACCGTGTCACTGCCACACGAAGTAAAATGCCACATTTTACTACTTCAAAACAAGTTCTCCCTTATTGTTGTGTTTGTTTGTCTGTGAAAATATCATATTTAGTTCAAGACAATTCGTTGTACGTGCTGCACACTTTTTTCCAGTGTTTTTTTCTAGTATGCTAAGCTGCAGTACTTTAAAGGAATAGTTCACCCAAAAATAAAAATTTGCTTAAAATGTACTTACTATTTTTCATTATATCACTTGCATTAATTTGGCATTACAACACTTAGATCCTCTGCAGTGAATTGGTGCCGTCAGAATGAGAGTTCAGACAGCTAATAAATGATCACTGTAATCTACAAGACTCCTGTCCATCAATTAATATAAATTTATGCTGTGTTTGTGTAACAAAAAAAATCCATCAAGACATTTTAACTTCAAGTCATTGCTTCTAGCTAAAGTAAGAGTCCTCTATAAATTTCTGAATCAGGAGAGAAATATGCTCAGATCAGGCACAGTTTACAAGCCAAAACATTTCTAAACAAATATGTTGGTGGATTGTCATGTGAGAGGACATGTATTTTGGCTAGAAGCTTCGATTTGACGTTAAAATGGCTTAATGGTGGATTTGTTTCTTACAATTACTCAGATTTTTGCTTCACAAAATGTTAACCGATGGACTGGAGTCGTGTGGATTACTTGTGGATTATTGTGATGTTTTTATCAGCTGTTTGGACTCATTCTGATGCACAGGATCCATTGGTAAATTTGAAATGCATTTTAGAGAGGATTTTAGCATTCTGACAGTCGTCTGCTAAAAGCCTCTCCTTCTCCTTAAAGTCTAAATTAATCTCCTTTAAAGCACCTCTTTTGTAATTCACCTTCTTATACAATACATTTCAAGACAATTGCGGTCAGACTTCGGATAAATTGCTTCCAGCCAGTGTTGCTCATGTTATTAATCCATAATCCATAGCTCTCCATTTGTTTGTGAGGAGTTATAGCTTTGGAGTTAAAGCTATAGCTTTGTACAATAAAAGCTTACCATTGAAGCTTTTATGTAATGCAGTCTTACATGGTTGCATCAATGGGTCATGAATTATTTTATGCTTTTTCTCGGAAGGTTGGTGACCTCTTTGGAATTAAATAATGAGTAGACTGCGGTGGGGTGGAGGAAAAGTTTGGTTGCCGAAAATTAAACATTTGGTTTATTGTATTTTGGAGGTTTATATCTGACTTGGGGAGGTCCAGTTGATGCTGTCTTTTAGATTTTCACCATATATTGCAGTTGTGGTCGTGAAGACCAACACAGTCCTAACACAGTTTTGACTCTGTGTTAAGGGTGGTCACTTTCCCACAGTTGATTATAACAGAATCCTTTGTGCCTGCAGACAATTGTGGTCACGATCAAGCTTTTTTATTACGTGCATGTGAATGTGAAAATTGCACAGACTCATCGTTCAGGACGTTTTACTCTCATGAGTGTTAGATAATATACGACTCTCTCCCTTCAGAGGTGGCAAGTAAAGCATGAAGCATGGTTTTTAATTTAAATCACATCACCATGCAATGAAATATTTTTGACACATTACATTTAGTCATGCCAACCTGTGTTTAGCCTCAAGTGCTGCAACAAATATGTTTTTGTACGTCCATGTCAGGACTCTTGGAATGTTGGGTTTAGTTTAGGTTCAGTTTGATTTACCCATCTATTGAAATCTCCTAATGTGAGAAGAATCAGCGAAGTCAACATATTGTTTCCATTGAAGCCTGATGCATTCAACATCACTCATGTAACCCTGACATAAGTAAAACAGATGATGTGCGTCCAGGAGAGTTATAGACTGTAGAATAACGGAGAGATTCTGGTTACATTTATGGACATGTGAACCCGAAAACATTTCAAAAATGCCAGTGATTCGCTGGAACCTGGTTTGCTTGAGAAAAAGCATGCAAAGGACATTATTTGCTTCCTTATAAGTGACTATTTGGTGTTTCTCTTCCACAGTATCCCGCAGCCCTCATGAACCTCGGAGCCATTCTCCATCTCAACGGCAAACTCCAAGAAGCGGAGGCCAATTATCTGCGAGCCTTGCAGCTGAAGCCGGACGACACCATCACTCAGTCCAACTTGCGGAAGCTGTGGAACATCATGGAAAAACAGGGCTTGAGGACCATGGCTCCTTGACTTGGACATATTTGATGGAGCACCTTCACTGAGGTTGTAAAGGAGATGTTCTCTCGGAGCTCTCACTAATGAGGTAATCAGCATCCTAGGGCTTCAATCCTGGGTTACCTCATGGGACATTTGAACATATGAGAGCAACTACGTCTGGTAAAACCAACAATCTAGAACTGTGGAGCTCCCCAGACATGTCGGGAGTTGTTAACTTGAAGTGGCCCATAGATACATACTTGAAGTCTCATGATCAATTAGATTTTAATTAGTTAGTCAATGCTTAATAGTCTTGAAGGGCAATATTTGCCCTGAGGCTGTATGAAATTGAGAAGGAATGAGAGTGCTACAACCCCCATGAGGCTATACTCTGCATGTACAGTACATTTCTTCATTCATATGATTGGAATCATTAATATTTAATGAGCACGTCATGGCTGATGGAAATGCGGAAAAAATAATATCATCAAAACATCATCAAAATAATGAGATAAATAGACCAAACATGTCATAAACGTTTCTCACTGTAAAAAAAACAAGCATTCGTTGTGTCAAAATGATCGATTTGTGAGGTTGTAGACTTAATGACACTGTACATAGTAGCACGGATGATATGTGAAGTTTGCGGAATTTTTTGCGAATGCATTTGCACGTTCCATCAACGTTCCATCGATCCAGACACGCCTGCCCACGACACTAGATAACTTCTGGGTTCAAGAAATTGGATCCATTTGATTAATCTGGCCAAAAATGACAGGAAAACAGGAAAGGGACATTCGATAAGCTATATAGCCTGAAGGAAATGTTAGAAATTTAGCTCGCAAGCTCTCTTTGCCTTACTTTGCGAAAAAATCTGTTCTGTAACAGAAGGATCCAGTGGGTTTTATTTACTTGTTGCATTACTAATATAAGATGGGGATGGAAAATGTTCACTTGTTATAAAATCACATTCAGCAGTGTGTTAATTCACAATTACACTACCGTTCAAAAGTTTGGGATCAGTAAGATTTTTTTTTTAAAGAAATTATTACTTTTATTCAGCAAGGATGCATTACATTGATTGAAAATCACAGTAAAGACTGAAAAGATTTCTATAAAAATAAATGCTGTGCTTTCTATTCATCAAAGAGTCATTAAAAATGTATCACTGTTTTCATAGAAATAAAATATATACAACCATTTTCAAGATTGTTAATAATAAGAAATGCTTCTTGAGCACCAAATCAGCATATTAGAATGATTTCTGAAGAATCACGTGACACTGAAGCCTGGAATAATCAGTCAGCATCTAATTTATTTTACATTTTAATAATATTTCACAATATTACGGTGTTTTTACTGTATTTTTGATCAAATAAATGCAGCCTTTGTGGGCACAGGAGACTTAAAAAAATAAAAAATAAATCAAATAAAATCCCAAATTTTTGAAAGGTAGTGTTTATTAGATCTGAACATTAGGATCTTGGACATTGATTAGTTCTGCTGGCAGTGTCCTTTGACTGAATTGGTTCAGTTTAACTGCAAAGCTTAGACTGGTAACTCCTAACCAAATACAAATCCTCTCACTTGTTGCACTCATCTAACAATATACAGCTATAGTTTTGTAAGGGATTGTTTATATGTAATGTTGGTTTAATATTTTTCTTCTATGTTCGAGTGTATAAATGGAACCTAATATATAAAATGACACGTTACACAGTGAGATGTTGTTGCTCAAACACGGAAAACAGTGAGCCAGAATCATTATATACAACGTTTAGAATTGTTTAGTTCATTCTGCAATTACTTTGTTTCATAATTGTCTTTGTTCGTCCTCGTTTCTGATTTCCAACTTTGTATATGTAGTGAGTAGGAATAATTGGTGATCCCACCAATTTTTTTTTTTTACGAAGGATTTTTTGCGATATGAGCCTTCTCACTATCACGTTAAAAAATGAAGTGAAAATTTTGACCCCAAAAATGAAATTCTGTTGTTTCTCGCCCTCAGACCCATTCGGTTGAAATGAAAAACTGAGAAATGAAGAAAAAAATGGTGCAACTTTTCAATTCAATTACAATGGAAGCTTTCAATCTTCAAAAAGGACTAAAAGTGCCATAAAAGTTTGCTTTTATTTTATTTCAAGTAGTTCATAGTGGTTTTTATTTTTAACTTTAGGTTTTAGTTAACTATGTCATGTACTATATTCCACATTTTCTAAAGCTTGTACTATAGCTTTGTGTGATAAATTAGTATAGAAATGTCTTATAAACATCTTATTTGATGCTTTCGCAAAAATTTCAGTCCCCCGTACATTGCAATAGCATGGAAATGAGCAACCAAATGTATTTGGAATGACATGAGGGTGAAAAAAATAAAACAGAATTTAAATTTTTGGGTGAACGATCCCTTTACAGTCGGACGGAGTCAGTATTAACTTATTCCCTTTTGTGTTGTCTTGAGAAAAAATAGCAGCTGGCTCTGTGTTATATGTCAAAATGTATGAAATAATTCTGATTCAAGATGCCCTTTTCTAAATATGTTTTTAAGCTGAACTAATTCATCCATTGTTTCAATGAGACATGTGTAACGGGAGCATTTTCAAGGGAATAAACCCAGAATTTGTGATGCATTTGTCTAGACGGTCTCTCAGACAAACCGGTTTCTTCACATTTCTGTACTTCCATTGTCTTCTCTTTCCTCCCAAAGTTAATGAATCCAAATGCAAAAAATAGCCAATAGTCTGGTCTTTCTAATGTTATACTGATTAGAAAAGAGCATTTCTAAACTAGTACTGGACATTATGATATAATCATGCAGTATATTAAAAGTATAGTTGGCCCAATTTAAAATCCTGTAATTATTTACTCGCCCTCATGTCATTCCAAAGCTGGCTTTTTTTTATCTGCAGAACACCGAATAAGATTTTAAAGAACAGCTTTGTGACAACATGAGAGTGAGTAATCACTTCAGAATGAAGTGCCGTCAGAATTAGAGTTCTGACAAAAACATCACAAATAATCCATAAGAAATCCACAGTCCTTCAATTAATGTCTCGTGAAGCGAAAAGTTGCATGTTTGTTATAAGCAGATCCATCATTAAGATGTTTTTAACGAATACGTTTTCAGTAAAAATTAATGAAAAGTTCATTTTTGGCTGAAATATTCATTTAATGCACAAAAACGCCACTGCAATAGCATAAGAATGGAATAACAGACCTCCCATGTCGTCAAAGGACGCACGTTCCTCATAGTTCGCACATTACCATAGTAAACCATTTGTAATTTTATCCAGTCTCAGTTGTGATTGTGTCTTGTCTGTCCTCCACAGTGTAAGTTATCAGCGTAGTTTCTAGTGGTATTAGTTGCTACTGCATCGATACTGTGCTGTTCTTAGCTGTACCGAGTGTGTCAGTTAAGATGACAGTTTTCACATCGACTCTCACAATGCAGACGTACATGACTAAGACACCTGCACCCGTCCTGTAGGCGTGAGTGTTGAAGTCTTTCCTCAGGGATTTGGAGAGGTGGTGAGATCGACGTTGGTGCACTCAGAGCAGAGAAAGAGTTTACTTTAAAAAGTTTTTTTTTTTTTTACGTTGCGCAACCGAGATTCGCAATTTGTTTCTGAAAACGTGAAGGTAGTTAGAAGTTTAACCTGCAAATTTATTAGATATGTCATTCATATCTGCTCTTTTGGTCTCACTGCACAACTATGTAATGTAAATATTCACATTCACATCTGGGACGTGTGTTTCGCCCCTCCTCCACACACACTATCCTGTTGACAGCCAGAAGCCGTCCACCCTGGAAAGAAACTTAAGCCATGTGTTGTATCTCACATGTTCTTCTCCATGGCCCTTTCTCACGTCGGATCACACTATGGGGCCTTGTTGATTTAAAATGTGCGAGGCGTTTGTGTGCATGTCCGCTACATGTTTCTCATCTCCTTTACAAAACACAGGTGTCTCGTATCTCAGCGAGTGACAGTCAGACAGAAGACCGGTGTGAAAAGTGCTTCAACTGAAACAGTACAGTCTTTGAACCGCACAACTGTGTTTTCTTTCACATTGCTTTTCTTTCCAGCCAGGATTTCAGGATTTTTCCAGAAAGCCAATGATGTATATCTTCAGCTACTTCACAAGATATATATATTTAATATTTACTCAGCAGTCTCGCTCTGTGTTCTCAAGCATTTAAAATATATCTTATGAGTTATGTAGTCTTAAAATGAAAGCTATGTTGAGAATAGCATACTTCTAATATTTCTGCATGTACAGTATACTAAACATGCTACATGCATATTCTGCTTATAGAAATGTGCATATAGGTACTTTTTCTTGCAATGCAATGCACTTAATTTGACCTTCCATGTCCAGCGTGACTAGTAAACCCGAATTCAACACCAACACCATTTTATTGAAAAGTTAGCAAATTTTTACAGAAATTTGGATTAAAAATGCAAAATAACACTTTTTTTCTTTAAAGGGGTGGTTGATTGCGATTTCACTTTTTTAACGTTAGTTAATGTGTAATGTTGCTGTTTGAGCATAAACAATATCTGCAAAGTTACGAAGCTGAAAGTTCAATGCAAACGGAGATATCGTCTTTTAAAATTCTGGCAGTTTAATGCTTACAAAAACGACTGGTAAGGGACTACAACGAGTTACTTCCCAGGTCCGTTACGTCAAGAACCCAGAATTTTACATAAACCCTGCCTCCGGGAACACGCAGCAAAGGGGGCAAGGCCATGCTGCGCTGCTTTAAAGAGGAAGAGAAAACTAGGGGTGCACGTAAAAATCTATTAATATATTAAATCTGTTCATATATCATAATCGATTCTGTCTTCTAACGATTCTAATGGATTCACAAGTTTCGAAATGTTCTAAAGCAGTGTTCTCATTCTGTTCCTGGCCTGACCCTGCTCTGCACATGCTCTGCATCTCTCTCTCTCTCTCTCTCTCTCTCTCTCTCTCTCTCTCTCTCTCTCTCACTCCTCCCCCAGTTCTGCACGATCCTCTTCAATAATATCCTCTGCGTCTCAATCAGGCTCAAATTGATAAGCAATATAGACGACGTCATTGTTTAAAATACAAACGGAGCACATGCCGCTATGTTGAGGGGCGAGATGTTTAGACGCACGCTAGAGGCGGTTTAGCCAATCACAACACACTGGGCTAGCTAACCAATCAGAGCCCATCGTGTATTTCTAAGGGAGGGGCTTCATAAAAGCAGGAAATGATCAGCGCGTTCAGAGGAGAAGGGACGGAGAGGTGTGGAATAAAGGTAAATTATGTGAAAAATAGTGCGTTTTTTAACAAAGAAGCATTAACAATGTTAGACTGCACCCTATAAACACAATCAAGCCTAGAAAAAAAACAGTCAACCACCCATTTAACTTGTCTCTTAATGGTTATATGACAACATTGTAGCATGCTATGGTTTAAAAAGTTTTGCATAACACCATTAGTCACAAAATGTATTGGAAAGTTGGCACGTTTTTACACAAAACATAGATAAAAAAAAATTCTAAATGACACTTTTTTTCAGAGAATATTTTTACTTTAAATTCTCTTGTAATGGTTATTTGACAACAGTGTTGCATGCTACTTTTAGTATGCAAAAGTCACTATCAAAATCTATTGGAAAGTTGGCACATATTTACAGAAACGTTTTTGTTGTTTTTTTCCCTTGTTTTATTAACTTCTTTTGTAATGGTTATATGACAACATTGTAGCATACTATGGTTTTAAAAAGCTTTGCACACAGCCATTAGTAAAAGTAACTTTTTACCTACATTTATTGGAAAGTAAAGCAAATTTTTACACAAATTAGAAATGCAAAATGACATTTTTTCATAGTATTTTTTCTTTAACTTGTCTCATAATGTTTGTGTGACAATAATGCAGCATACTACTGTTTAAATGCAATAGTCAAAATTTACCTATTGTATTTTTATTTATTTTTAAAGTTAGCACATTTTTACGCAAACTTTTAATTAAATTCTAACTAACCCTATTTTTCATAATGGTTA